CATCATTTGCACCTCTGGTTACAAGAATGAGGCAGCAGGTGGGGTACAATACTTGCCTGAGACCCAAGAGCAAGGGCAGGCAAGCTCCTTCAACCCTTCAGTTCAGTTTCCAGAAAGGTCTCAGGGGCTGCACTCCAGAGGGGAGCAGGGCTGAAGAAATGTGGCAGAGCCAAAATACCAAAAACACCACATATTTTAGCTTGAAAAGCTTAGTGTCAATTACCAGACTGGGTCCTTAGTTGAGCTAGATTTAGTCCATGGTCCTGGAACTTAGCCCCTCTGTCCTAGCGATCAATATCCATAGACATAGAGATGGGGCGTGTACAGCCCTCCAAATGTTGTTGGACTACAGTTCTTATCCTCCCTGAACATTAGTGATGCTGAATGTTCACCCAAGGGCAAGATAAAGAAATATTCTGATTGGGTATAACCTTCTTATATTGTGTCCCAGATAGGTAACATGATGCCCTCCAAATGTTCCAGACTACAGCTCTGATAAACCCTGACCACTGACTATGCTTGTTGGGGCTGCTAGATACTGTAGTCTGAAATATGTAGAAGGTCCCACATTACTTACTCTTTTCTAGCCATTGTGAAGTTGGGAGCAGGGGCAATCTGTGTGCTATTGTCAGTGACCTGGCACTATTGATGAATGTGCTCTGTACTCATGTATGTGAGAAAGCTCTGGCTTAATGGGAAAAATAGTGGCAACCAAAATGATCATTAGCGATGCTTTGCTTTGCTGAAACCAGGAATGGGTAATGTAACAATACTCAGATGCATGATGGCAACGGGCTGTACAGCACCTTGGTGATACAGCATGACAGATTTTGACAGTCCACAGAAACATAGTAAGACCTCCAGCCCAGGGCCATATGAGGAAGAATTTACACTTCGATTTTACACATATTTACTTTGAAGTAAGTCCCACTGATTCAGTGAGATTTCATCCCACATGTGTGCAGTATTGCAGCATTGGGTCACTTGTCTCTATGCTACCAAAGTTCTAGGGTCTTGGCAGACTAGGAGGCAGTACTTCTTGCAAGAAAACTATGGCGTGTGTAGCACTAAATGGCAGGAAGTTTCCTGGAGTAGTTCCCCGAGAATCTGGCCAGCTATGAGGAGCAAGTAGCCTGCCTAAAGGAAGGACACTAAGGAGAGGAGCAGTCCCCTGAAGTTACCAAATGGGTTTCAGGAAAATATTCTCCATCCATCTAACCCCCTTCCCTTTATGGGTACCCATTGCATCCTGCATAGGTCAGTGGTCCAGAAAGGGAATCCTCTCAGTAGCCATTCCCCCAATGATTTTCATGTTTTCTTTTAAAAGGAATCGACTCCTTTTCCAAACAAGACTTCATGAGATAGGAATTCATTTGAAACCCTGTGTTCAGTTCTGCATACCCCCATTCAAGCAAATTATTGACAGAACAGGAAAGCAGGGGAAAGCTATAGGGAACCATAAAGCACCTAGAAAGTGCTTTCTTGACAGTTTTCAAAGTTTTACATGGATGTCAGAAAGAATATGAATATTTGTCCAAACTCCATTTGTTAAACATACAGTGGATAGCATTGCTCTGAACCAAATCCCAGGCTCATCAGAATCCATCCGATGGTTCACTACAGACCCAGAGGCTTTGTCAGTGTTGTTGGCTGTGCCGTCCATGACACTGTATGATGCCATTATGAGAAGCAGCTGCGGAACCCAGTGAAGTCCAGTACTTTTGCTAATAATCTAAGTGGGAAAGTCTAACTCTGACTACATCTAGAGCAGAGCCCAGCAGTTCTGCTCATTCCTGGCTGGTCCTACCTTTAGGACAGAGTTAGATGGTCCCTCTGACAACAGCTTCTAGAGACTGAAGAGTGGCAGTAAGATGTTGGGAGATAGAGCTGGTTTGTGTGCACACATGCACACTTCATGTGTGTATCCACCTTGTCTTTCACAGCAAAATGCCTTGGACCTGCACTGACCAGTTTACACCCACAGCATGATAGATTTAGCAAATTTAAACCATCTATAGGAATAGAATAATTTCCTTGTTTTCTTGGGTTTTCATTGGGCACTCATTCTGGTGCAAGATACTTTGTCACAGAGCAGATTGAACAGAATGACTCATTGGGTTCTCTGTGGTTCTGCATGCTGCTAGAAACCCATTTCAATTACCCTCACGCTAACAGATGTGTTAACATGGTTAAAGCAGTAGAGACACTGTATCTTTGGGAATCAATTGTGCATTCTAGCTGATGTAGGTTTGCAGCCACATTATAATGTGGTGCATGCAAAATCACTTTATTTCTTAAGGTGTACTTTTCCTATGTGTTCAACATAGGGTTTGTATGTCTCTCCAATATAGGGTTTGTATGTCTCTCCAATATAGAAATATTACATATTTTGAATTTGTTGATTACTTTTCTGCTAGGAGGGACTTACAATCAAAGGTTTAGAAGTAACCAGGGCTGCAACATTTTAACTAATTACTCTGGCTAATAGATTAAATTGACTAAAAAGATTCCACCAACCTATTGGAAAACCAACTTTTCAAAATATATTTGTGAATGGCCATGTGTGGGTAGAAATTTGGCTTGCTTTGCTACACTATCTGAAAGTAGCTGTTGCATCCCAGAGCGAGGTGGGAAATGGATGTCTTATCAAAGTAAGAGTCCAAGCCACAAAAACATAAATGGATAGATGGAAGGTGATGTTAGTAAGAGGAGAAGGCAGGGCACCTGTGTGAAGCCATATAACAAACGAACAAGCAAGTTTTGTTTCGAAAGACTGTAGGAACTGATAAAAATTAGAGGGGAAATTAATTGATCCTATGACCATATAGGAGATCATAAACCCTCACCATTCATGATATGGCAGCTAGCTCTTGATTAAGGCTAAGCTGGATAATATTTAACTTTCTCAGAGAGTAGAGAAAGACTAAAATACCTTGAAGAGGCGTTATATCTAATAGCTTATCACAGTGTCATTTTTAATACAAGTCCTTAGAGAAACCCAACACACACAAAAGAAAATGCAAACTTATTAATGAATTTATTATTTGCTTCAGAGCTGCTGCTATTCTTAATATACAAATATATACACATTTCATCAAACAATTGATGAATTGACCAAAACTCATCTATTTAGGCAGTACCCTATGGAAGCTTTTTTTTTTTAAGGTCTAAAACTTCTAGCACAGCTGGCAGATACATCCAGGGAGTTGTAGGTCCGTTTTCTATCCAAACATGCATTTGAATGTATTTTAAGAGCTGTGCCTGACACTACCAAAATGTAACTGCTTAATTTCCACAGCTCAACTTGTACGGCTTTATTTCCTCTTGCCTTCCTTAACCCAAAAGAGCAACTGATGCTCCAACGTTTGAACAGCTCCCAAAGCAGCCCAGGTCCGATTCCTTGACTCCAGTAGATCCAAGGTCCCGGGCAGGTCAAGGAGACTGGTATCCCCGGACCGATCAACAGTGTTGCGACCCGAGCACTCCAAGGTGCCTTCAAGAACACCACGGGCATCCAGGCCTCTGAGCACCAGCTACTGGGGAGGGACCAGCAGCTCCGGTGTGCTACTGCCCTCATGTCCCACTTATGGCTGCTGAGAAGCGCCTGGTTAGGATTACGGCGGAAGAACGCTAGGAAAGAAAAGGCCCTCTGGTGCGTCGGACCCACCCCAGCAAGGCGCTTGTGTTGGGAAAAAGTCGCGTAAGCAGCAGCAGCAGCCGCCACTGAAGGCCACCCGCCCTCCACGCAGCCATCATCCTTCCCACAAGGGGGGCTTCGGCTTCAGCAGCCCCGCTCGGCTCGCTCCTCCTTGCAAACGCACGCAGCGAAAACACGAGCACGTGAGAGCCCCTGGCAGGGGCCGTCTGGCGCAGCAGCACGTGGCTAGGCGAACCCCCGGCGGGCGAGAGACCCGGAGCAGCAAGGCGGGCCGGCGGGAGGGCCCCCTCTTCCGAGATGTTCCTTCGCAGAGCGGGAACGGAGCCGGACTCCCAATGGACGCGGTAGCTCCGACAGAGGGAGCGGGCTGCAGCTGCCGACCCCCGAGTGCCAATGGCCGAGGCCGTCAGCGCGCCTCTTCGGCGGGAGCGGAGCCCGCGCCCCACCCTCTGGCCGTGAGCGAGATGCAGCCGAGGAGGTATGTTTTTTCGTTCATGCACAACCGCCCCCCACGGCAACTGGAGTGGCTGGATGGCGGGAAGAAGCCGACGGGGGAGTAGTTCAAAGTCCCGCTCGATTCCGCCCTTTCGCCCGTGCACAGCCCGGCTGCCTGCGGCCCCTTGGAAGGGAGCCGCGCGCTTCTGGACGGGAGGCAACAAAGGTGTTTTTGGCACTCCCTCGGCGTCACTTCAGGCGGGACGGGGCGGGGGGGGTAGCTAGAAAAAAGGGAAGAAAGGAAGACGGCCGCCAGGCAGAGCGACGTCTGTCGGCTGGGAAATGAAAGTAAAGCCTCCCCCTCCATTGACTCCCCTCTCCGCCCCTTCTTTCCCTCTTCGTGCGTGGGGTGGGGGAGGCGGAGGAGGGCAGGGCGGGGGCTGGCCGGCTGCTGCCGCCCCACGCGGCGCCCGGGCTGGCGGCGCCCCCGGCGGGCTCCCCGTGCACTCCGTGCCCCTCTTGTCATGTTTGTGGTTTGGGACGAGGCGGCGAGTCCGTGCGCCAAGAAAAGCCGAGCGCCCTTGAGCCCCGCCACAGACCCCGGACAGCGCGGGCACCAAGCACCGGCTCCCGCTAACTACGCCCAGGCAGGGCTTTGCTCGCAGCTCATTGGAGCGGGCGAGACGGGGCCAGCGCTCCCAGACCCTTGGCAACGCGCGGCACGGAGCAGGCACAGGCCGGAGCCCCCCAGCCCGCGCAGCGCCGATCGCCGCCAGGGGCAGAGCGTGCACCCCGCAGCCCGAGGCGAGGCGAGCGATCCATCCCGTGCCCTCCCTCCAGCAACCCCTCCGGCTGCGCTCACGGGCTCCCCTTTCTCCTCTTCCTCCTCCTCCTTCCCAGCAGGTGGCTCCGCGTCGCGATGGGCAGAGGGACCGTGCAAATGCTGCTGCTCCTGGGGCTGTTGCACTGGGGCCCCGGCGGGGATGGCAGGAAGAGCTGGAGGCGGCGTGGACAGCAGCAGCAACAGCAGCAGCAACAGCAGCAGCAGCAGCAACACCCGCACCAGCCCGCAGCCAGAGAGCGGAGTGAGGCGGCTGGGCAGCCGGTTGAGAGCTTCCCATTGGACTTTACCGCCGTGGAGGGGAACATGGACAGTTTCATGGCTCAGATCAAGAGCCTGGCGCAGTCGCTCTACCCTTGCTCAGCTCAGAACCTGCACCAGGAGCTGAGGCTCCACTTGCTGCTCAACAGTTCAGTCACCTGCAACGATGGCAGCCCTGCCGGGTGAGTATAAATGCCAAGCCCCCTTCTCTTCTAGGAACTCCTAGCCCTCGCCTGCTTAATGTTCCTCAGGCTCCCAGTGGTTCCCTGTCACAGCTCCTGTGCCTCATGGAAAGAGAAGGAAGGTTGTAAAAGGCCACTGCTTCTTCATCCTCACTTTTTCTGTGCCCTCCTCTGGTATTTGGCTCCCCTCAGCTTTCCATCAGTGTGTGGTTCTGTGCCCTCCAGTGTATCAGTGGTTCACCCCCACCCTGCCTGCTGGATGAACTATAGAGCATTCAAAGCAATCGCTAGAACCAGATAGAGGGAGACCAGCTGGTTCACAGCCTTCCCTAAAGTAGCACAGACAGGATCCTGAAGAAGCGGCGGGTGGGAGTGAAAGCAGTACTGAATATAACCGTATTCCATTCTTGGTGTATTCCTTCACTTTATATTATGGCTGCTTATGTTCTCTAGATCTATTACAGGGTTGTGTTGATAGCTGCCCCTTATTCAAAGGAATGGCCTCTAGTCCAGAAAAATGAGGATTTAACAGAATATAGTGGGCAATATTTTGTCTCAGAGCAGTATAGTTACTTAGACATCTGTAAAACTTTGATTAAAGCCCCACAGTATCCTTATTTGTTGAGAGTTTGGTTCAACTGATAGAACCTCAGCTTGTTTCCGGATCTGAACTTCAGTTCTCCAACCAGTATATGCATTGAAGAAGCATGGACAACATCTTTCCCTCCTTTGTAAAGCACATTTTTGCTGAGGAGGGATGCTTGAGAAAGAGGGCAGAACAGTTTTACTATTAATACTGTTGGTTGTGCGCGCGCACGCGCCCCCCCACCCCCCCCCATGTCCTTTGCTCTAAACATACTTAGTACTTCAAAAGTGCTGAAACAATCCTTCCTAGTGTTCAAGCTCTTCTGCTTCCACCATGTGGTCGTTACTAAGAACACAGCCAGTAACAGGTGGAATAACTCTTTCCTGCCTGGAAATCCTTCGGAATGCAAGGAATTTGTTTAATGCATTTAGTTTGGAGCAAGATGAAAGCCAGTTCAGCCTGGCTCAGGGTCCCCGAGAAGGCCCTTTGATCAGACTCTGTTTGGAGCTCTTTTGACAGCCATCCTGTTTCTTTCTCTTGTTCTTTACCCAAGTATTTTATGTAACCCTCTTGATATTATAATGAGTTGGTGTATCAAAGAGCTTGTGGTTGAGTGAGCCAGTCTCCCTAATTAAGTTCACGCTGCCTTCTGTTTGTTTTGGTTTTAGCTACTACCTCAAAGAATCGAAAGGCAGTAGAAGGTGGCTGCTATTCCTGGAAGGTGAGTTTGAGTTTTCTTTCATTTTCTTTCAATTTATTTAAGCAAAGTTCAATCACTTGTAAAAAATAAATAAATAAATCAAAAGATGGCTGAGGAACTTCCCCGCTGCTTTCATCCAAGGTTTTTAGGGAATGTGTGTATGTGGTGATTGCCCCCTTGGTAATCAGCGCCTCCATCTTTTCCTACTTTATTATTTTCTATGCTCTTAGCACCTGTAGATTTCCTGGCACCTAATTACTCACCTAACTAATCAAAGCTATGTCCAGATGTGCTTTTCTCAAGTTGGCTAAAGAGAATAGGAGTTGTAGTCCAACAGGACAATTGATTGGGAAAGGCTGGATTGCAACCCTGTTCAATCGGTTTTGTTCTACAGTTCAGTCCCAGGCTTTTATTTCCTAGGTTTTTGACCTACATGCAGCAAGTCTCTAAACAGACTGTGGCTTCCACACTTCTGGTGTTCTCGTCTTTCTCTGCATAATAGCAATTGATGGACTCTGCTTTCCTGATCCTAAATTACTCTGTTTTGAAATAAGTCTGTGGAGTTCCAAGTCAGAGAACTTACCTGAGTCAGACCGTTGGTCTGCAGACATTAATAGGAAACTGCTTTCTAGTGCTTCAGTCCTACCTGGAGACGCCAGGAATTAATATTGGGACGTTCAGCATGTAAAGCCAGTGTTCTACTGCTGAGCCGTGAAAGTGACCATATAGTGAACCTGTGACTAAGAAACCATGATAATTATGCCAACACACATTTATTATTAGAACGAGCAAATACTTTGTATGTTTTTGATCGTGACAAGCATCTCAACTAAAGTGTCACAATTTTTCTCAGGAGCTCTGCATCATCTACAGTGGTGATTGGATTATTCATTCCAGTCCTAAGTACCTGTGCTGTGGTCCTGGGATCAGAATATGATCAGCCCAGTTCACACTTCTCAGTAACTCATGATTTATTTAATCCATGGCTTCTTGCTCTACCCATAGTTCGGTATCCTATCCAGGATCTGTTTGTACGATGATTGAACAAATTGTGATTGGTTTTTTCAGTCCCTGGGTTGGTTCTTTCTCTGCTCCTTTGCTTGCCCCCGCCCCACTCCCTAGCACCTTTGTGGTGGTGTAATAGTAGCATGTAGAGCGGCCGCTGGGTGTTCTAGCCCATCACCTCTATAGTCTTGTGAAACTCATCCAGGGTCACTAAGTAGAACAGAATTGGGGCTCTCACTAGGAAGTAAGCTCTATAAAATCTGGAGGGACTTCTATATAATGGCCACAATCCAGAGGAATGAGTGTTATTCTGACATGTGCAAAACAGATCCTTCTTTGTTGGCACAACAGTGGCATGCACCAAGGCATGTGGTTGACTGTCGTGTTAAAGAACAAGAAAATGACCTTACTTTATCAAGTTCACTTCCCAAGTGTCAGAATCAGGGCATAAGTTGATCTAGATTTAAAGGCTGAAGTCTTCCAATTAATTCTTTGGAAAATTAGACATTGGTGAAAGCCTCATAGTAAGATTTTCAGGGAAGACTATGTCTTGGAAATAATGTCAACCTATGTTTGAGACCAGTGGGAGAACTACAGCAGACATTATTACGAGTATTGTAATGCCCGATTCACTGGTGTGTCATGTGACACTCACCCAAAACCACCATTCTTGTATTGTTTCTGCCATTATATCCCAAATTTCTTCAGGCTAGATTCATATGTTGCATTTTTTCTAAGGTACATATTCCACTGTCAGCTAAATTTTAGTACAGTTCTGCAGGGAGAGGAATAGAAGTTGTTTAAGTGGGATAGTGTACATTTTCTTGGAGGTAAGTCCTACTGTGTTCAGCTGGGTTTACGTCTGTAGTGGACATACTGTACTGGAGGCTTAAAGCCTCAAACAGATTAGATCCTGATACCATATTCTGTGAGATGCTGAGTCAGTATCGTATATCCCCTGATACGCAGACTCATGATGAGAAACATTATGAACAGTAATGATTAAATTGCATTTATTCCTTAAATTAGCTTCTCTTCCTAAATTATGTATTTCATTTATAAATTTTATAAATGCATTTCTATAATGGCAGTATAGAAATTAAATATGTAAAATCAGAGCCTACAAAGGCATAGAGTAGGTGATGCAGGAAAGAAATGACATTATTTTGTTCTTTTTCTTTCCTTTTCCTTTCCTGAATTAGGAGGCTGGTACTGCTTCAACAGAGAGAACTGCAACACTCGGTATGAGACAATGAGAAGACTTATGAGCTCCAAGGAGTGGCCTGTTACTAGAACTGGTAATTTCTTTATTCCCATCAGCCTGGGACTTAAACTATTAATTATATTACTTTTTCTACATAAATATGTAGTTATAAATAGATAATTACATACCTAGCATCATATTATTTCTTTTGAAATATTATTGTACTACTGCTCCGTTAACTCAACACTAATCCAGTGATAAAACAGAGAGATAAAATACATCAGAATTAAAACAATGCATCCAGTCATTTAAAGTTCAAGAGAAAGGGTCCAATGTACTTTGACTGTAAGAGGTTTTTATAATGTGGTTGCCAGTGTAGTTAATGCCCAGCACTGAGCCCTTCCACTTCATGCCTCCTTGCATGTTTAAAGGAAATTATTGAGAGTGAGAAAGATGGCTGCTTTGGGCATTTGTGCACAGGGGCTTCTGGCTGGGCTTCCAGGGAATCAGAATCGGAATCTGGAGGAGAATGGGGGGCTGGGAATGTGGGCCATGCCACAACACTGAAATTAGGGAAGTGGAGGTGCTTACCTCAAGGACAGACTGCCCAGGAGGGCAGGCAGTCTCTGGGAATAACCAAGATGTACACTTGGCAGGAGGGGACTCAGAGCAGGGGGGTTTCTCAAACACAGATAAGGTGGCCCAGGTTCTTGACCCCATGACACGGCACCAGCAGAGGAGGGCAGCCCAACGAGAGGATCAGTGCAGAGAGAAGCATGCTTGTTTGCGGGAGGTCCCTCTCAAAGGGATGGGACCCAGGCGTGCTCATAAGGGGGGTTCATGAATTGGGTTCAACAAACCACTCTGTGCATGCTCAGAGATTCATTCTGGGTGTTTTGTGCTTTTTGGTCAGTAAAGAATGGGTTGCAAGGAAAGAGGTCTGTGACTTTTGAATGTACAGAGGAGGAAACCTGGCCGATGACAAAAGTGATATAGAACAGAACTTCCTCTACAGATCTGTTGGCACAAGGCTTCTCTGTGAGAGGAGGGGACTCCTTACAGTAAGGGTACACAACTAGTCTCATGTGGCCCTTGGCTGTGCAGCCCACAGGAAGCTGGAGCAGCTCCACCTGCTTTTCCACACAGGCCAGCTGCGCAACTAGCATCACATGCAGCCCCTGGGGACCAAGAGGCTGTAAGATATGCAGCTCCTAGACTTCCAGCCAGGGTCCTGCCCAAGCTTAATTTGAACAAAGCTGCTGTAACGACTCTAAAATATTTTTATCATGTTAGTCTTTTTCAGGCCAATCCTTAGTGCCTGACCCTAGCTTTCTGAAGCAGGTTGGGATAAGACAGTGGTGTCTCACCACTCATGGTGGGTGGAGCTCTGCCATTTTGGAAGCCCCCACGATGCCCATGGAGAGCTTTGTGAGTGTAGCATTATCACCAGCAGTGTTCCTGCAGGCAGTAGCCCACAGCTCCAGAAATGGGGTATTCTAAGGCTGGGACAGGAGAGAGTTTAAAACCCATATTGCCAGGGAAAAAGGAAAGGAAAACTACCACCTTCCTTCTGCCCTGTGCGGTACCCATCTGGCATGTCTTTGAAGGCAGCACTGGGTCCTGTGCTTAGCAACCCCACTTTGAACGTGTTGTTAGAAATGAACCAGTTGTTTGGGCGGCTGCACTGTTTTGTTGTAGTTCTGTCCTTGTTTTTGATGCATCTATCTGGAAATAGTCTGTAGGTTACAGTTGTTGTTGATGATGATGATGTTGTTGTTACTTCTGTGTTTGTACTTCGAGTGAAGTGGGCAGTGTTAATAATATATTCACCCCCATCAGTAGATGGTGGGGATTGCAAAGATTTTAGGGTATGCAGAGAGACCTACTAATCAAAATCTTATCAGAGGCCTGTTCTGGATACCACCAGTTTCTATGGCTCTGAAAATGCTAGATGTTGTTTAGGGCAGCTGGTGAGGACTTTACCTAATACAGGCAGACCTAATAGAGGGCTGAAGGGATTTGCTTAACATTAGGAATGTAGGAATCTGCTTTATTCTGGGCCAGATCATTGGCGCATCTGCCCAGTACTGTGAACACTGAGTGGCAGCAGCTTTCCAGGGTTACCAGCAGGAGCTTTTCCAACCCTCCTTGTAGATGCCAGCAATTAACTTGAAACCTTCTGCATGTAAACCACACAGTCTACCACTGAGCCATGCAGCCCATGCCATTTTTACGTAACAGGAATAAGCTCTAGTCCAAAAACTCAGAATGAAGCTGTGAAGGCTGGTTTCAGGTTTTGGGGACTGGCAAACACGTACAGCCTCATACCACGGCCTCATGCCTTATTTATAAATCAGCTTTATCCTCAGAACTGAGAATATGGTTGTAGATCTCCTGTATTTCTTCACCTCCATTTTGCAGCTGTACTTCTGTAATAATCTGCCTGGTATAATCCCAGTTGAACTCTTTTTAAGTTTCTTCTGATAAGATATGGATAGAACTGTGTTTTATACTTCTGTCATCTCTGGAACAATAAGAGGAAGTTACCTTTCAGACTTGAGTGGTGTGTACACATGGATCTGCTTATTTGCTCACATATACACATTGGATTAGGCCATGGTTTCCTTATCCCAGTTAGTGAAATGGGTAATTTACATCATTGGAGCCCAATTTATCTTTAATACTAGCAAGATAAACCTATTAGCAAATAATGTATTGTAACAGCTATATTCTTTCAGGTACTCAGAACCATGTTCCTAAGACATGGCCAAAAGATCACATTTCTGCAGATCTAAGCACAGAACGTTTCCTCTTTCGCATGTTTTGCCATTGTGATCATGTTTAATTTTTCCTTGTATTGCTAGAGATTGCTTTAGTATTTGAACAAAGTTTTTCTGTCTTTCAGTATTTTGTTAAAAACAGTTCTTAACTTACAGGAACTGGCATACTGTCATCACAACCAGAAGAAAATCCACACTGGTGGAATGCAAATATGGTGTAAGTAGGGGAAATGGTTATGGGAAATGGATGGAATAGCACTGTGGGGAAGTAAGCAAGATGCAAGGAATGCGAAGGAAAATAGAAACTGAGCCTACATGTGAAATAAAGAGGAATGGTCCTTGTAGCGAATAACTAGAAAAAGCATGGGTAGAAGTTGCAGCTGAAAGTAGTATATTTGCTGGGGCCCATATTTTGCCTGCCAGTGGAAGGAAAGAGGAAATGGAAGCTGGTCTTCTTTGGCAGGAAGCTTCAGACCAGCAACTGAGAAGGGGCTCTCTTGTATTCCTACATAATCATTCAAGGACTTTAAAACCTAGTCAGGCTGGGATAGCGATGGGTACCAAAAAGATCTGGAGCTGAGGATTTTTTTTAAAGCACAATTTGCCTATGACGATTTACATACACTCTAAAGTTTACATATATTTTAAAAAGCCTTGTCTTCCAAAAGCACAATTCATGCAGAAAGCTTGAGGTACGGCAGCCTACGGTGAAGAACATGTGGACAAAAAGCCAAATAATCCAGAGGAATCATATGCAAGAGAATCAGGGTCCTGTATCTTTATTTCAACACATATCAGGCTGTTGGGGCAGAAGGCATTCCAGTGATCTGGGGCTCCAAAGCAAAGTTTTCGGGGCTCCAGCCCTAGTGGGCCACTCTCTAACACCGCCTCAAAGGCAGGCTCATCTGAAAGAATGCTTTCTCCTATGCAAGCAGGTATAACATACTATATAGCTTTCTAAGTCATAATCAGCACTTCAAATTGTACCTAGAAATAGACTGGTTGCCAGTGATGCTGTTACAACAAGGAAGTCATATATTTTTTAAAATGTTCCCTGCTTAATAAAACTAGCTGCATCATTTGACTCAGTGGAAAAATTAATCATGCTAGGAAAGCCAGTGGCAGAGAGAGCAAAGAAAGACTAAATAGGAGATGTATCATTTCCTTTAAAGAAGCCACAGCCTTGAGTTTACAAGAGCTGAGCAGGGCTGTGGAGGACAGAACATTTTGGAGGGCTTTAATTTGTAGGGCTGCCATAAGTTGGAGATGACTTGGCAGCACATCACAACAGTGTATGGGACCAGCTGAAGTCACACTCAAAGGCATACGCATTAGAGTAGACTACAGAAGTCCAAATGCGATGTCTTTAAGTCATGTGGCCCGATAGGGCATTTTTAAGAATGGACACACTTGAAGCACTAGGCAGTTTTGGCCACTCCTAAAACTTCAAGTCAGCTATGAGCCTAGATGTCCAGAAGTCCACCAAAGCTGTGAGCTTTTGTCTTCAGGAGGAGGGTGCCTCCATCCACAACTAGTGGATTCCCTGCTCCTGATGTTCCTTTCAACTGACCAGAAGCAAATCTGTCTTCTCTGGATTAATTCTCAGTTTGTTCGCCCTCATTCAGTCCATGACAGACATAACTGCTAAATAAGGAGCCCTGTGGCTAATGGCCTGGGTTAGAAATCGAATCAATCAATCAATCACTGGATAGAGTAGAGTCGTTTCCTTGGTTTTAGAAAGAGAGGAGAAGTAGAGTTGAGTGTTATCAATAGAAGGGGGGCACTGAACACCCAAATTCTGGAAGATCTCTCTCCACCGTTTCATATGTATGTTAGATAGCATATGCAACAAGATGGAATCCTGAAGGACACTGTAGGCCAATGGTCATTCCACTGAATAGGAATCGACCACAGCTTCCTTCAAGAGGAACCAGTGCCACTGTGAGAGTGTGCCTCCAAATCTTAGACAATGAAGTAATCCAGAAAGATACTACAGTTGGTGTTGGAAGCTACAGAGAGGTCCAGCAGAAGCAAACCAGAACACAATTCTCCCACCTCATTCCTGGTGTTGTTTTCATCCACCATAGCAGTCTCTGTCCTGTAATGAGGCTTGAGGCCAAGTTGAAATAATCTGACTCATCTCGAAACATGAAATGTGTTGCTACCACATGTTCCAGTACCCTGCCCAAGAATGGAATATTGAATTTGGCCAGAGATTACCCAAAATAGTGGGGTTCGGGGAAGTGTTTTGTTTTTGTTTTTAAAAAGGTCTCGCCACACCTTTTCTAGGCATGATGAAATCACACCTTGTTGTAAAGAAGCATTCAACACCCTTATCCTCTTGGTTAGTAAACACTACCAGCAGCTGCTTTTATAAGCCAGAACGCTTATATCAAAAGATCAACTGTCCCTGCTGATTATAAAATGTAAAAATAGTTTGGAAAAGTAATTCACAGCTTTCACTGAACTTTACAGGAGCAGAAACTTGAGGTGAAAATAAGGAGACTAGAGAAAGCTGTTCTGTCAACACAGAAATATTTGTGTGGATAGTCATAAATAATATTTGAATGTGGGAGACGGATACACTGAGGGTTTGGAACGGCCTAAATTTTACATGGTTCCTATGGTAAACAGCAACAGAGTGTGACAGGCTGATGTGTTGGTTTCTTTACATGATGCTTGTCACCTGCCACTTCACCAAGGCTACTGCTTCTGCTCTGAAGGATTAAATTGGCTCCTTTGCATTAGCGTCCTTTTTGTGGGGGAGGTTTGGGGCAGAGTCTACCTTTCTGTGTAAGCCATCATGCAACCACTAGGTCTTACACACTTGTCTCAATCCAGTTCTTCCTATCTTTTTCAAATAATATCATACTTTCCTTGTGCCCCCCGCCCCCCAGAAAAGAGAACATCATAGAAATGCTTGGAAAGCATGAAAGAGGCCCTGGAAAATGAGGGGTTATAAAGCACATGGGTGAAGAAGTGCAAGTACACAAGTCACAACTGCCCAGCATGTGTGTCAAAACATATGGGGATGTACCGCTTCCCTTTACACTCTGTGCACTGGGATATCCCTTTTGTTGTATAAAATGAGAAGTGCATCATAACAGAGGAGAGAGAATGACGAATACGCATTTCATGTCACCCATATAGATCAGTAAAGTGAGCTGAATGCTACCTGAGCAAGCTCTTCTGAGAGTTTGTGGGTGGTGCCATTTGATCTGAGTGGGTATTAAATTGGTTCTGTTCCATCCCCAATAGCAGTTCTGTTGCCTGACCCCTGCCTCACCTCTCTCGGCATGTCAGAGGAATAAGGGCGCTCACATACTTCTTGTCTCTTGCAGTTTCATCCCATATTGCTCAAGCGACGTCTGGAGCGGTGCCTCTGCCAAGACTGAGAAAAGTGAGTGCTCCTGACAGGCACTTGCTGCCAGACAGACAGTTTGCATTAAGAGGACACGGCCTGACTTTTCTACAGCCGTGAATGGAAAAAAATGTTCTTGCCAGTGGGGAGGAAGGAACAATAAATGCCCCCTAGATAAAATATCGTCTTGCAAGCCCTGCTTTCTTATGGTTCAGAGCTCCCTGATGCAGAGGAGTCGCAGCATGACTAGCCCGAGGGGAACAGTTGCTTTCTGAGTGTTGGAAGAGCCATTTTTTCGGCTCAGCTTCCCCCACTCACTGTTCTCTCTGCACCATGGACAGAGTTTGAATGTTCTCTTTGGTGAGGAAGGAACAAGCAGTGCCAGGACATGTAAGCTAAGTTAAGGATGTTCCTCATGTCTGTGCATGGACTTGGGAGACTTCACTACCTTGACCAATCACAAAAATGTTACGGGAAGCCCCATTGTGGCTCAGAAAAATGCACTTTAATGAAGCTAGGAAATGTTGAGAAAATGTTTTGTGGTCATTTTTCTGTCTGAAGAAGAATACAGTGCAATTTTAAAGTGTGGAACTACCAGCACAGCTGACTCAGTGGCCAATATATGGACTCTCTTGTAATGCTTTCCCAGCTCAAAATTGCCTCTTTTGGGTGCCCATCTTCTGCCTGGTGGGAGCTGTTGACACCTTGAATGGTTAGATCCCACTGCTTATCATATGTGGTGGCCTTGGGAGAAGATGCTTACTTTTTACAATTCCATTTCAGAGACTGAGGTCTGGTTAAATGAAATATTACTACCCTAAAAAGAAGAGATGAAAAAATATCCTTTATCCCATCAGACTATTTCAGGCAGTTCACATTTTTTGAAAGGATGGGGCCAACTTCAGAGTCATTTAGAGGAAGGGTTTTTTGTCACCACTATTGAGAAGTTGAGCAGATTGTATGGTGGTTCCTTGAGAAAGAGCCCACTTAGGAATGTGTCGAGAATAAAGGATGTTATCATGTCTCATCCCTGCTACCATCTACCCACACAGAGCTGGTCTTGCTTTTCTTGAGCAGCAGCTGCCTTCAGGTGCACACCATGGTAGCCAGCAAAGTTCTGCCATGGGCTCCATACCTGGCACAACAGACCCAGGACTGGCTGTGAGCATCTCCTCAGTTGCCCTAAAAGCAACAGAGGGGTTGGCACCAGAAAGCTTTTGCTCTAACGAATGCTAACCTTTAAGGTGCAATCATGACCATGTTATATTTCTATGCTGCCTTTCCCCCTCTTGTGAGGATCCTGAGGAAGATTTCCTAATCTCCCTCTTCATTTTATTCTTACAACAGCCTTGTGTGGTAGGTTAGCATGAGAATCAGTAGCTTTCCTAAAGGCACCCTGTGCGTTTCATGGCCAAGTAGGGCTACAACCTGGATCTTCCAAGTGCCAGTCCAGCACTTGCTCTGCTAGACTCATGTCTCCTCATTGTTTTTGCTACTACAAACTAACACAACCTGATTCATTTGCCCTAAGACATTCTTTAAGGCTGCAAGACTGAACATCACCATGTGAAACTACTTGGCTGTCTTTGCTGTTCTTTTCCCTGCCAGTGGGTCTGCAGGCCCATTATGAGAAAGGAGAGGCAAAGGCACCCGTGCAGCTTCAAATGGTCACATCCAGTCTGGGATAGCAGCTGCTCAGTGACAATGTGCTGTATTTCCTCTCTGGAAAAGATAACTAGGATGTTGTGCAGCTGTACACAGGTAGGGAGAAAGCAAGGGCCGGCAGCTTCCTGGATCAAGAGCATTGCAGGATATTCTGACAGCTGCTGTTGCTTTTCTTTTTGACCCTTCCTAGCAGAAAATAGGGAGATGCAGCTCCAGTGTCCGTCAGTGGAGAGAATCCAGTGGGGCTGCTCCCTTCACCAGTATAACATGGAAAAACAACATAGTACTAAGGAGGCACAATTTCCCAACTCTTCAAATCTCCCGAGTCCAGGTTATAAAAGTTGGACAAGATTGGGAGCAAAGGAAGCATTTTTGGGCAAGGGGAATGTAATGGATGGGCATGCTGATAAATGTCGTTTGTAACACTAGCATATTATGAATGTTAGAATGCTTCATAGTCATATTTTCAGTGATCCTTACAATAGTCCTGTAAGGTAAGTCACTATTTTATAGCATATTGCTGGTGACTGACCTACATAATGCCACAGTTCCATGGTAGAAGAATATTTGAACTGAGGGCTTTCTAGTTTATAGCTCAGTGCATTAAACACTACAGTGTAATAGCAATTATGCTATCTTAGGATGTGATGAGTTTTTGAATAATTTTGTAATTTACTATAGAATAGCTAAATATTAACTAGCTATTAGACCCCTCTCAGGCTACTATATTTCCACTTGCTCCATATCGTTTGCTGTGTTGCATTTTGCTCCTTCCCTGAGCAAAGACCACCATACTATTTGGGTATTCTATTTAACACTCACAAAACCCTCACCCTGGACGTAGAACATTTTTATTTTACTTTTGTCTAGACAAAGTATATTTGATAAAGGACACCAAGATCAAAGGCTTTCTGTATGACCAGTGGAAGCCATTGTACTGTTTCTCGTGTTGCAGTACTGATGCCTACTATCTCTGTTCTCTTCAGGGTGCAGTCCTGATGGGGAGAATGCTAGGAGTAGGACTTTTCTCTATTTCTATGTGTTTTTAGACTGTGTTTTTCTCTATTTCTATGTGTTTTAGTAAGACTGTGTTTTTAGACTGCAAATCCATAGAGACAGAACATGAATTGATGGCCTAACTAGAGAGATCAGGCTAAGTGTGATTCACCCACTGGGGCACTGGCCTAGACTGCAGCACTTTTCTGATTTCAGCTCTTTTTCTGAGAATAGTTGTAAATGCTACCAGGCAGAGAATATTATCTAGAAGCAAGGACGTCCTCCATGTTTTTGTTGGAATGATCTGCTTCTACCCTCATTTTCCACCTGCTCTGAAAAGGAGTCTTGCATACTAAAGGCATGGTTTTCTATTAAAATCTCCATATGACAATCAAGAGATTAAACAGATATTCTCTTGTGGGGTGTTGTTGAACCATTAGTCCATATTCTACTAGAGATGTTAGCAGTTCAGAGATGGAAGATCTGAATTTATAATATAAAATGTGCAAAAGTAAACTCAGTGTGATTTTAAGACTGGAGCATCAAGTTAATGAACAATATTAGATCCAAAACACACAAACTAATGGCACTAAAGTCTGCCAGACTTGTGTCCCCCCCCTCTCCCCGCCGTCGCCCAAGAATTCATTTGTAGCTCACCAAAGGTATGGCATATTCTTTCAATGTGCACAGACATGGAGCTTTGGGTGGGGAAGAACAGGAAAACCTTTTAGCTAAATAATTTTGCTTACTGTGAACTCTTCTTTTCTCCCTTAATCCTTCCCTCTGCAGATGAATTTGTTTTCATGGGTGCCCTTATCATACAAGAGGTTGTGAAGGAGCTGGTGGGAAAGGGCCTTGGAAATGCCAAGGTGCTCTTGCTGGCAGGAAGCAGGTACATGCCTCTTTGTGAAGATGTGTCTAGAAAGTGTGGAGCTGGGGTGATTCCAGATTGAATGGGTGGGCTTGTAGGTGGTGGGAATGATTTTTATTTCACAGTCACCCTTCTTGATGAAAAATTTGTGATCTAGTAAGACCAAATTCTGTTTTAGTTGCTACAACTAATGCTTAGGCGTTATGAGAGAGGCAGTGTGGCTTAGTTATTAAAAGTGTGGGACTGGGACCCAGGAGATCTAGGTTTTAGTTGCTACTCAGTCAGGCAGCCAACTGGGTAATGCTGGGCCAGTTGCAGACTCCCAGCCCAACTTGCCTCACAGGGTTGTTGTGGGGATAAGATTGAGAGGAGAAGGAGAATTACAGAAGCCACCCTGAGTGGAAAAAAGGTGGGATATGAGTATAATAAACACATAAATAAATACCAATTTGTTTAGAAAATGTGCGTGACACCTTTCAGAGTGGTGTACAATAAAATAAACATGGTAAAATCTAAATTTTTGCAAAAATAAAACAGGAAAAGAAACACTGGAAGCAAAGCCTTACATTTCAGTCAATGTTTAAATAATAATCAAGGGAGCTTTTAGTCTTACACGCTGGAACACCTAGACAAATAGAATGGTCTTTCCTTTTCTCCATGACACCAGTGTTGTTTCCACATGTTGCTTTACACATTTCCAAAATACATTTCCGATCTCTGGGGATGGCATTTGACGAAAGGGACCCCATGGCCAAAAAGGCCCTCTAGTGACAACTCATATAACTTCAGATGAGGTAGCAGGGAAGAGAGTGCCTGAGGAGAACCACTGAGCTCAGGAACATTCCCTTCTTCAGACAACTGGCTCCCAAGCCTTCTAGAGTTTTATAAGTACTTAATATTTTGAATCGGGCCTAGAAATGGACTGACAGCAGGGCAGGTCTTTAGGGAAAGGACCAATTTTTTGAGCACCTACCTGAGTAGAAGAGCCTGGCTGACCCATAGGCTGCCAAGAAATAGAACTGGGTGCCCAGGCACAAGGAGGCCCTGAGGAGGGGGTTCTGTGTGAGGGTCCAAAGATGTCTAACAACTAATGCTGAGGTACTGGATGGGATTTACCTGGCAGTTATATTTAGATTGGGAAATATTTGGTGTTGATTTTTTTTTTAAATTCTCCCTTTAGCGAGTGATGCTTATGTGGTATAAAGCACATAAATTTTCTTTTGATGATATTTTTATTAATCAAACAAAAGAGACCATGTAGGTCTCTGGGTCTTCCAAGCAGCTGCTATTGCTTTAAACCTCAGGCCCAAGGACCAAATATGGGCCTCTTGGAGTCCCAATCTGGCCCTTCATGGTTCCCTAGATTGCCCATGCCTCCTCTCTGTGCTACTACCAGTTACTCAGCAGTTTCCCAGCATCTGTGGAGCTTTTCCCTTCATTCTGAAATGCTGGGATGCCTCTCCTCAGGCCTAGTGGCAGGCAATAAGAACCCGACATTAAAACACACTAGCATTTTTGGCCATGGATGCACCAAGAACTTTCCCAAAATTTAATTCTGAAAGAGTTCCAATGCTCTTGCCGTAATTATTAATAAATTTAATCATTAGAAAACGGAATGCTAGAATTGGATGCAACACTGAGGATCACACCTCCCTTGCTGAGAGACCTCTGTTGTCATTGCAGTGCTGGTGGAACAGGGGTCCTCCTGAACGTGGATCGAGTGGCTGAGCAACTAGAAGAAATGGGATATCCTGGGATTCAGGTCCGTGGCCTTGCAGACTCTGGCTGGTTCTTGGATAATAAACAATATCGTAGAACAGACTGCATTGATACCATAACCTGCGCCCCCACAGAAGCCATCAGGAGAGGAATTAGGTACTGAAGTATTCTAAGGTCTCCTTTCCCAGGAAGTCTGAGACTGGGAATGATAAACCCACTGTTTCTGTCTCTTTCTAATGATAAGCCAACTGCTTCCTTTAGCTAATGGAGTTCGACTTGGAAAAGAAGTAATGTACATGAGATGTGGTCACACAGAGGGTACACACTGGGTACCATAATATCCTAACCTGGCTTAAAAGATACATAACCAGGATTTCCTTCTTGCTAAAATGCATAACTTTCCCCTGCTGTTCATAACATTTGGAATATATGCATTCTTAGCTCACACTCCCAGCTGTCCATTATTTCCAGCACAATGAGTGTGTGTGATGAACCCGTGTTATCATTTCATCTTTCAGGTACTGGAGTGGACTTGTTCCTGAACGCTGCAAATTGCAGTTTAAAGAAGGAGAGGAATGGAATTGTTTCTTTGGTTATAAAATTTACCCCACTCTCCGATGTAAGTGTGCAAAGGAGGGTTTTCTAGAGACTGTTTGCTGATCTGAAATGTGCTTTCCTTACCAGTATTAAGAATAGCTAGCAATAGCATTTAAAGAGCCTGGTTGATCAATTGCATGCCTTTTAACCAGTTACTTGATTTGTTGAATTTGAAGGAATTTGTATCTTACCAAAACTTTAATAGACATATGGCCAGTGGAGAGTTAGATACTGAAAGAAGTGAGATACCTTACAATCTAAAAATAAAAGCTAACGTTTTGCTGGAAGGAAAAGATATGCTGAGAGAGCAATGCTGTGGTCCTTAGATTGTGCCTAGTGGACAGTAGGATTGTTTGGAGTCCCAGCTTGGAGTGCATCCCACTCCTCACAACTCTCATGGAAAAAACTACACTGGTTGCTTTCTGCGGTCATAAGAGCAACCTTGGAGAAAGGGGTTTAGGGGCACCAAGGTGGGCAGGAAAGGGAGAAGACCAGCACCATGAAGGTATGATGTATCCTCGTGGCACTTCAGCCTCCTCCTCCCTGGCCCTGCTGCAGTGCAGCACATAGATGGTAAAAATCGAGCATATCTCCAGCTGCTCTGCAGGGTGGGAGAAATGCAGGGGTGACCTTCACCTGCATGCTTCGTCCGCCCTGCATGGGATGCCCATGATCCTCTGAGTTTGGAGGATTGTGCCCTAAAGAAGCAATCCTGTAGCCTTGGACAGCATCTGAGGTCAGGAAAGCAACCTTGGAGAGGGGAAAGGGGGACATTCTGGTAGGTGGGAAGGGGAGGAAACTGGAAGGGTCAGAAGATCCCCGACGTACCCCCCCTTCCCCCCTCTGAAAAGTTGTTGCTGGATCAGCAAGAAACCCCATATCACGACAGTGTAGGGCAGCTAGTCCGGGAGGTGACGAATGCCTCAGCCACTTTTTCTGCCCTTCATAGTATGACTGTGAGCCTCCAAGTGTGGGGGCTTCCCATCATTGCTACAGAACTGTACCCTTAGTGCTTTCTTTTCCTTTCCCTGCAATAATCATAAGGCAAAAGCAAAATAAATCCCCATAGCCACAAGTATGCCCTTAATGTACTGTTTCACTGATTAAAAATTCCCAGTGCTAATTGAGCAACTAAAGCTTTCATTCAGGAACTCACTGGTTAAAACAATGAAAACTTGCAGCCCTAATAATTATTAAATCTGCCCTCAATTCTTCTCTGTGCAGGTCCAGTTTTTGTGGTCCAGTGGCTCTTTGATGAAGCCCAGCTCACCGTGGACAATGTGCATTTGACTGGCCAGCCTGTGCAGGAGGGGCAGTGGCTTTACATCCAGAACCTGGGCCGTGAGCTGAGGAACACCCTCAAGGACGTGACGTTAGTCTTGTCTCATCTTTTTTAAAAACACTGAAGTCTTTCCTGTGTAGATATATTCAAGAAACCTGTTCTTCAAAATCTTCCAGATTTCTAATACTGAAAAGGATTGTTAAGAGGAATTATGTCGGTGTTTAACTTGCATTAGGAGTTTTGTTTGTATCACATGGCAAAAAGAAAGGGATTGCTGAGAATTCAGCACCGAATCTCAAGCCAGTCTTTTTATCTCCTAGGAATAATTCCATGGACTTAATACTTCTTAATAGCTCATTCCAGCCTTCTCCACTCTCATAGTAAGAGTGGTATTCAAAGACCCCTCAGACAGTCACATGAGAGGATGAAATTAAAGCTTTACTTACTCAGTTTCCTGGAATAACCAACTGCTCTGAGTAGCTCAGATGTGAACTCTGCAGCTGCCATAATTACACATACCCATAAAGCATTGGGGAACCCGAGTCCTGCCATGAGCAATAGCCAAACACTGGGTTGCAATAGTAGAAATTATATTATGTGTCTTCTTTTTTTCCCTCACTTCAGAGCCAGCTTTGCTCCAGCTTGTTTGTCTCATGAGATCATCACACGCAAGTAAGTATCCAGAATGAGGAAATGTATTCTCTCATTGGCTTTGCCCTTTAAGTAGGGTATAGTACTTAGGAGAGCATCACCCTGCCACCCATTTAGGAATGCTTCCTGGAGCAGGGGTAGGCAGAAGGTAGTCAAATTCAGGTTGTCTAGGAGATTCCTGGGTGATTTGTAGTAGATTCACAAAGACTTCTGGCTGTCAGTTGTTCAACAACTGCAAGAAACCCACCCTCTCCAGTTAAGCCCCCTGCAGATTTTCTAAGATGCCCACAGAACTCATTTTACAAGGTGTCTAATAAGTGTAATAATATTTAAAAAATGGAACAATTAAAGTCATTGTTCACCATGTCAAGTCATTGTTCACCATGTTGTAGAACTTCTTAACCTATTAGTAGCCAATATAATCTGGCTCTGCTTTATTCCTGGAGGGAAAGATTCGCAGTCTACAGCAACACAGTGAAACGCCCAGGCCCCCGATGCCCGTTTTCCTTTCGTGCAGGATCCTTCACTCCCCGTTTCATGCTCACATTCAGCATGTTAAGGCAGTGTCACTGCAGGCACATTGCGCTACCGCCACATCCATAAGTGACTCAGACCCAAGGTCTTGGTGGGCTCTCTTTCAGGAGCAGCTGTACTGGCCAATCACAATATGAGTTGTGAACAGGTCTCTCCCTGCCCCTCTTCCACTCTGACAGACTCAGACAAAACTTTAGAAGGATAGTCGTTTTCTTAAAGCATAACTGGTTATAAAACAGTAGCATTTTCCCCAAGGCATGGGAGAAGCAACTGCCCCTGTAGAGTTGAATCTAAACTCAACTTCCCCTCCTTCCCTTCCTTTCAGAAAAGCTTCTGACTCCACCTTCAGGGTGGCTCCTGCTGCTTGAGGGCTGGATGGCAGGCAAGTCAGACTCTTCTTACTTGGCCTGCTCATTTTGCCTCTTGTTGCCTGACCAGATCAAGGAACTCTCTCACATTCTGCTGCCCCCCCACCCCATTCTGAAACATCTCCCTCTTTTTCCAAGGCAGGCAGATTCTCATGCTCTTGTCCCAGAATCTCCACTAGGCAACACGGAAACTGCAAAATCTTCTGCCCACCTCTGCCCCTCCACTTCCTCCTCCGATTAGGACAAATCTATGTGAGCAGGCAATACTAAGTTATTGCTGGGGCCCCGCTATAGAATGTGTTACTCTGGCTTACACAAAACGGAAGGTGCTAATTGCCACAGTACTACCTAGAGCTTGCATCAATGGTCTGCTTTGTTTTTGCAGTCACTGGACAGACATCCAAGTGAAAGGGACCTCCTTACCCCGTGCTCTGCACTGCTGGGATCGCAGCCTCCACGACAGCAGCAAGAATGGGAAAGCCCCGCTGAAAGGCTGCCCCATCCATTTGATCGACAGCTGTCCCTGGCCCCACTGTAACCCTTCATGCCCTACCATCCGGGACCAGTATACGGGGCAAGAGATGAATGTGATCCAGTTCCTTATGCACATGGGCTTTGATGTGCAGAAGATGGCACAGCAGCAAGGTCTGGAGCCCAGTAAACTTCTAGGGATGCTGAGCAGTGGTAGCTAGGAGAGTCTTCCACTAAGGAGGACTGTGTGACTGCATTAGGAGAAGGAACCTCGGAGTTCCGTTCTCAGACCTTCTGTCCTCCTTCCTCACTTGCATCCTGTAAGCATCCACACAGACAAGCCAGCAAGGGCACGCACACACATTCTTGCACAGTTAGCATGTCAGGACAAAGTTGTCAGGGTCTTGACTATACGTACCATACCTCTACTTCAGGGGACAGGCTCAGCCAAGCAGAACCTCTGTCGGCAATAATTCACTAAGACTGCAGGGAGCGGTGAGTGCATAGACATGGCAGCATCAGGAATCCTCTCCAGGGCTGAAAGAACTCTACACATTTTATCACTTGCAAGAACTTTTCACACCACAGACTGACCTGGGGTGGAGGGGAAAGCACTGGACTATTTGTCCAATTAGTAGTGAAGGTATGATTACATGACTTCCTGGAGGTGAGCATCTCACAATGTAACATAATGTACAAACCAAGCACACAGACTAGGAACGGACTTATCTTGTACTCAATTTACTTTTGTATTATTTTATAAAATGATTTTATTACTTAATTTTTAAAGAAATAAGAAATATAAAATATTGTTTTGTAACATATTTTTTTAAATAATGAAAAACACCTTGTGCTATTTTGGCAATGTGAAAATATTTATTTTAATATGTAAATGCTATTTATAAGGGCTGACCTCAAGATATGCTCACATGTTGTTGTAAAGTTGTAAATACTTCTCCTTTGGAAAGGTTTTCCTTTTGATCACATATGTGTGGGAGAGGGCACTGGTCAGCTTTTGCATTATTATAATTATTATAATTATTATTATTAGATCCCCATGACTCTCTTGCTGTATGTTTCTTGTTATTTCTGAAATGGGGAAGGTATCAGTTACGGGAGCATTTATCTTCCTGCTCACCCTCACCCTCCCTGTGGTCCTTATTCAGGTAGGACTGTACACTTATCCATGAAGGAGCTCTTAGAGACATTGCACAATGACCTGAGATGGTTTCTGCACTTAAGTAGCCAACTTGGGATGCTAAGTGTATGAATGTAACCTAAGTTCTCAGCTCCAAGCCATTACAGGTCTCCTCAATAACATTTAAGGTTGTAACATTATACCATAAAAAATGTTCATATGGACTAAATCAACAATGTGTACTGAGGCTTTTTCCAAATCCCAGACTTCAACACCAAGCACTTCCCAGATGTTCAGCCTGGGTACCAGCTTGGTGCTTTAATCAGTAGGTTCTAAAAGCCAGCTTGCAGCTTCCTCAACCTTAACCTTTCTGACTTCTGAAATACATGATAGAAAAGAAACAAAGAGAAACACCCTTGTGTAATTTTTCAATTACCAGGTAGCCTTACACTGTGAAATAAGAATTCTTGCCACCACCTGTCAATGTAATTTGCCTCAGTTGGTGAGAAAGCCAGGAATTACACTCACATGAATCACTATAGATAGGCGATAATCCTATTTGTGAGTCAAAACCCTAAGCTCCTGTAAACTTAGAGAGAGAACCCCAGTAGTTTACAACCGTAAGGAAAACAAGTGGTTACCTTTCACACCAGGGTGAATTTACCATAAGGGTTGTTTAGGGACAGGTGATAATAGCAGAAGGCAAAGCTTTAAAAGAAATGTATCCTTTTGGCACAGTTGGTCCCTTTGCACCTACCTTGCCTGGGTGGCCACCTGCTGGCCCACCTGAGCATGGCCTGCGCTATGGTATGTCCCCATAGCCTCCAAGGGGATTGTCTGCTTCTGCCATGCCGCTCCAGAGGGCTGCCCACAGCGATGGGGAAGGGCGGTTGTATGGCTGCCCTGGCCCACAGATCTCCCCTGGCTTCAAACTATGAACAGCAAAACTAAGTGCTGGTTAGGGAGCTCTGTTCCTAGAGCCCAAACATGTTGCTGCAGGCTTTTGACCACATGGACGTATTTAAAGACACTCATGGGTTTGGTGCATTTTGAGTTAGGGGCCCTCTGCCAGTTCTATGTCCTGCTGCCAATAACCAATAAAGACAGAGTAGGATGGAGGTGACCTTGCCTAAGTTCCTCAACTTAAATATAAAAAGCAACAGACTGTGCTCTGAGTCCCTGTGGTGGTGGGGAGACTAGAAGGGTTTAGTATATTGCATAATCCAGTTTTCCGCGCTGCCCACTTGCATCCTATCCTCCCTCCAACTCGTCTTGCAGTCACAGTTGTGGCACAGAAGCTTTCTTCAGTGGAAGATCCACAAATGGCTCTCCTCCACACTAGTAGTTCTGTTTATCTGGGCAGAAGAGGCAATATGCTGCTTCCTATAGCACCAGAGACACTGCCTCTTGGCCACAGGATTGCATTCTGGTCTATTTCTTTATTCAGCACAGAATAACCCCAAGTGCACGTTGCTAGGTTTCCTTCAATATGCATTTTAAGATTCATGGACTTGGTACTATGAAGCGGTTGGAGGAACAGATATTCTCTGTTACTATAGGTGTGCCCAAGGTGGAGCAGGTAGGCATGTGTTGTAGGCACAGAGTGAAGAACTTGCTATTTAAGCAGAAATCAACTCCTGCAATAAATGCAGGGATTCTCTGAGGAGGATACCTCGTCTCCAGGAAGGAGGCTAGCAAGGCCTAAGGCCATCTGTGAACCTGCAGAGTCACTAATACAGCATGTTTTCTTTCCCCGCCCCCCCTAGTTTCTGTTTAATCCCTATTTCTCAATCCTTGGTTTTCTTAATAGCCTTATTTTGATCCATGTCTATTCCTACACACACCACGAACATACACCCTGCATTAAGCATGGGGGCAACAGCATAAAACAACTTTCATTGTTAAAGCAGTTGACACTTTATGGGAAGGGACCTCCAGAAAAAGATTCTATTGAGCCATCAACCAGCTTCATTCACATAGCTTTATCTTCCGCATGATTCTACCATGCTTTCCCACCACCACATCTGCTTGCTTGCTTGCTTTCCATACCACTGAACATTTTTAAAGGAAAGAAATATGGAATAATTACACAATGGCTTCTGTTAGCACTAGCAGCCTTTCATCATAAACACTTGGAGTTTCTCATGCAGGCGGGCCCTGAAGACACTATAGTCGAAATTAGGGCTTTGTAAAATGTACCTCCCCAAACACATGATCCCATTCATGTGTGGTGAAAACAGACATTTCAGTGCCTTTTCAGGGGGAGAATTTTTACAATGGGGAGCGTGTTACTATTAACAGGTGGCTGAGCTTTGGATTTTTAAAATGTTTTTGCTGCCACTTATAATGGAGTTACTGGCTACTGGCCATTATTCTCCCATGGAAAGCCCCTGTAATTTCACTAAGTCAAGGCATAACATGCCCAAAGGGGGTTCTCCTTGGTCTGTTTTCCTTCCCAGGAATGCCATTTGGAATGGCATGTTTTGACATAACATTGTGGCTCTGGAATTCTTGGGGAGAACAATGGACAGTCAGTTGTTGCAAGGAGAAAAAGAAACTACTGCCCAGATGTAAGTACCCCTGACTCTGTAACACCCCATCCCGTTTTTCCAGTGCTCTCAAAAAATACTGAGCTGAGAGAGTCTGAAGACTGGACAAAAGTGGGTGCCAACTCCACTACATATTTTCAAGTCCAGGGAATAATGGATTGATGTAGTAGCAATGACACTAGCATTCTCATCCTTTACCTATGCTTTGTATTAATTAAAATGTTACATTGATGCAAATTAATTATAGCAAGAACAACATGCTTATAGAATGTGACACACAGGATCTAATAATGCAAAAGTTGCTTATAACCCAACTGAATGTTTGATATGCTGGAACAGGTTTTAAATGTTTCCACCAAGATGTGAACAGGAAGGCCACAAACACTGGGTGCTTGAGGTTCTCCCAGCAGGGCACAAAAATAGTTGTAATCAGCCCCCCCTCCAAAGTTTTAAGTTGTGCCAGCTTGTGCTAACATGTCTGAATAGAATATAAAGGAGAAGTAGTTCTAAATTTTAATCATCTCCTGCCTCTTTCCCACAGCCTTGACAGAGCCAGTGCGTTTGGAAAAGTATGTCAGAGGTGGAGTGGGTGGCCTGTGTTCACAGAAAATGCAAGAAGGAACATAGAGGGAGCATCTCAAATTGCTGCTTATTGAAAAGTTCCAATGCCCTTTTAGCAAAAGCTCCTCTTCATGGTTACATTTGTTCAAAGAACAACCTTTTTATCTTCCAGTCATGGGCTTCTAGTATTGTCTAGATTATCTTTTCCTTTAAACCGGCAATAGAAAAGAGAAAGGAACTGTACTACACATTAAGATTCCATGGAAAGTATCTGTATAATACAAGTAAGTACTGTATGCTGATTCTGTCAACAATAACTGGTTTTGGAAGAAGAAGCTGCTGCTGATTGAGAATTTGCACTGAAACATCCCACTGCAAAATTGTATGCATTGTATTCTGATTCTGCCTTCCAATCCAACTGGGGGCTTAAGTCAAATAACAAAGTGCATGATGACAGAAAGCCAATTCACCTCCTCTAAACCTCGGACAAAAGAAAGAGAATCTTGTCAGTGTAGGAGGTAAAGATGCCTGGGTTTTCTCCCCACGTGCTCACTTCCAGTGTTTGTCATGGGGCAGGTTTTCTGGCAATGCATATAGCTCAGACTCTCAGGGATTTACAGAGACTAGAACAGACAATTTATTTTCAGGAAACAGTTTCTGACAAGTTCAGAAGCACAACACGTTCCCTTTCAATGACAGAGATGGCTAAATGTAGTGGCAAATAACTCCTGGTGTGTCTAGCTAAACTCAAAAGTTTTAGAATCATGAGTCAGTTGTTCACAAGGAGAGGATGGGCTTTAAAATATGGGAACTGAAAATAGACTTGAGGTTATTCTACCTATATTTGAATCTCTGATTCAATATTAAGGAATATTGTTGTCACTCAATAGGGGGCATAAGACAATCGAGATTCAAAACCAGAAACTCTAATGGCACTCTTAAAGTTGGCAAAATAACCAATAATTGACAGTTTCCGCTCCTTTAATGATACTATAAAAATCTACTGTCTCACCCTGAGTAATACTAGGGGCAATTTTGCAACTGTTAATTATTTCAAACTTACCATGAAGGTGTTAGCAGGCTCAGTGCATTCCTGCAAGAGCTGGCAATGAAGGACATGGTTCTTTCCAAAAAAAATCCCTGCCCAAGTCAAGGCAGGAAAAGTGACAGCAACATGATTTCACTTAATAACATTGTAGGTCAGGCCACAAGACCTGATCTGGCAATGTTCGGTAGCTAACTGAATGCATTTTTCATCCCTGGACTGATTCAGCCAAGCTTGATCAGATCACACCTAGGTGTACAAGCAGATTTTTTTCAGTGCTGCTGCTGATTCCAATTCATAATGTTTGTATATAGGATGACCCCCAACCCTTTTGTTTTAGCTTGGAATGACTACTGCTGCCACCTAAGAGACCTTGCAAATGGGATCCCCCGAGACCTAGACTTTGTCGGCAGGCCTAAGGTTCCGCACACTGATCTGCTCTCATGGCCATCAGTAACCGGGATACCAGCTTGGAGACTGAGGAATAATTGAACCAAAAGCAGAGGCAGAAGGCTCAAGAGCACCACTGCAAAACCCAAAACCAGCAAGGTCAGGATGCCAGACCCTTGAGCCAGCCACTGCAGTCTCCAAGCCTTGCTCTACCACTGGGTCGACATACCCATTTCTAAGCGTTCTACACTCTGTGACACTGGTTCACTAAACCTGACAGCATGTTCAGCGTGAGCTCTTGAAAAGATAGACGACTACTAAGCTCCAGGCCAGAGGCCTGTCCTTGAAAGCTTTCATTCTGGGGAAAGGGGCTCAGTCCGAGGAAAGGCTTTTGGACTGAAGCATAAAAGGTTTTATTCTGATCCCAGCCATTCTTGGAGCAGGTTGCTCAGTCGAAGCTCTCCTGGGTGTTGCAACATTTGGCTTCTCTTTTTCTCCTCTCCACATTCCTTCAGACAGGCTTCATGGTGTGGCTCCTCTGTTTCTCAGTCACTGTGTTGTTGTTGTTATTTATTATTATCATGTTATTTTTCAATGTGTTTTTCTTTCCAAGTTAAGCTGCCCCTCTTGTGTGAATACAGGAATCCAAACTTATTCTTAATTTATCTTGATTTCCTTCTTTCACTGAGTACCAATACAAAGTTGCTTTACACACCACCCAATAGCCAAGACTCTCTGGGTGGTTAACAAATATTCGTCAATGAATGTGTCTTTTCCTGTTGTCTGAACCCAGTGAGAAATTATGAAGTCATGTCATGTAAAGTAGCCCTAGCCGAAATGATGTCTAGCTCATCATGACTGCACAGGCCCGGCAGTCCAGTTCATGCCAGATAAGTCTATTAATATAGCTTCCTATTTATACACTGGCCACTTGCAGCAACATAGTTAAAGAGCTACAGCTGCACGAGTGAGAGACGAAACCAATGTCCTCTTAGCCACTCGGCAGAAAGATCAGCGGAGGAGGAAGGAGAGGAAAGAGAGTGACGGGAATGCATAAAGAGCACTCGCTGTGCAGACCCTGGCGCGGCAGGGCTGATGGATCATAACTGCAGCAAACCAGAAGGCAGGTCAATACTCTCACTGCAAAGGCGAGGCTGTCTCAACAAGCTGCCAGAAATGCATGCTCTGCAGCATAAATAGCAGCCAGCTACGATAGCAGTGGAGGGATAGGAGGCTTATTCTTGCTTCGCCGCCGGCCTCCGGTGGGGCTGGAGGAGAGGCAGCCCTCCAGCCGCGAAAGGAGCGCCGGGTGCTCTGAACCAGCGATGGAGAGCTCGAGGGGGACCTACCTGAACACAGCTGCGGTGACCTCCCGGGTGGGAGTGGCCCGGCTGCTGCAGGCAGCCTTTGGATGCACGACGTTCAGCCTCGTGGCCCACCGGGGGGGATTCAGTGCAGCCTACGGCACCTTCTGCATGTCTGTCTGGTGCTTCTGCTTCGCTGTCACCCTCTTTATCATCACCTGCGAGGTCACGCACCTGCACAGCTGCCTGAGCATCTCCTGGGGAAACTTCACGGCTGCTTTCGCCATGCTCGCCACCCTCATGTCCGTCACGGCTGCTGTGATCTACCCACTTTACGTCCAGTTTGGCTGCACTTCCAGCGGATGTGAGGTGAGAGACTTCCGCATAGCTGCAAGCGTTTTTGCGGGGCTTCTCTTTTTCGCCTACGCTGCAGAGGTCTTTCTTTCCAGGGCCAAGCCAGGGCAGGTGAGCAGCTACATGGCCACTGCTTCGGGCCTCTTGAAAATCGTCCAGGCTTTTGTCGCCTGCATCATCTTCGGTGCTCTGGTAAACGGCAGCCAGTACCAGAGGCATGCAGCCACCCAGTGGTGTGTGGCTGTTTACAGCTTCTGCTTTGCCGTGACGGTGGTGGTGGTGGCCCTCAGCATCACGGGAAGGACATCGACGCTGAGGTGCCCCTTGGAGCGCTTCGTGGTCATCTACACGTTCGTGGCTGTTCTGATGTACACAAGTGCGGCGGTGATCTGGCCGGTGTTCTTCTTCGACCGTAAATACGGCTCGCCACACCGCCCACACCAGTGCTCCAGAGCCTCGTGCCCCTGGGACAGCCAGATGGTTGTTGCGGTGTTCACGTGTGTCAACCTCGTGCTTTACATCGCAGATTTGGTATACTCACAGCGGGTCCGCTTTGTTTCACACCCTTAATAGCCAGCCCCAACACAAAGCCATAAAGGATGTGGACAAGAACAGAATTGGGACCTGCGGAGAAATCTATTAACGTTCCAAAGCATGTTGTTAAGAAGAACAAAACTATAGGATATTCCTGTACTAGGTAAGAAACAAGAAGAATGCCTTTTTCTAGCCCACACTCACAGCACTGCCATCATTCCAGCAAAGGTGCAAGCTTGCAGCAACAATTACTTCATGGGCCAACCAGCATCTCCCTGGCCTAGTCCTAAAGATGGTGGAAGGGGCTTTGGACCCTTAAGAAATCTTCAGGAACTGTACAACAGTTTAAAAGTTATGGCAATACAGAAAAATATCTATACCACAACGACCACCTGCCTGGTTTTTGTTAAAGTGAAAAACATATCAGTAAATCTGGCAGATCATGCCAAACTTTTCTGAAAAGATTATGGAAGGTGGGGAAATTATGATAATCTTGAAGATCTGAAGATTGAGCATCTCTTCCAGACTACTGGAGCAACTGTTTCCTTATGCATGTACCTTGATTGTGAATGAAAACATTATCAAGTTCACAATTGACAGTGGGGATGGGATGGGGGCAGGTTGGGGGGAAGGTTGTTATAGCATCCAAAACAAATTATTTCCAGATTGTTTTCCCCAAAGCTCCTTCAAGAAGTGTTTCGGGACACCTTGATGCCTGCAGAAAGTGTGGCTACATACAAGACATCAGCCAAATTTGTGAACCATTTATTAGTTTAGACAAATGATTATTGAGTGTGTTTTTTTCTTTTGGCAAGAATTAGGCAATAGATATTATTGAGTTCCTTAACAACTTTGGCACCATGTAAACTGCCAAACTGGTTCATAATTTAAACATGGCCTGGATTCTTTTGGTCATTTGCAAAATGTATAACATTGCTCTCAGTCTAGCCAAGTGCCTGTTGCCTGATCTGACCTCGGGATAGACCAACTCTTGGTCCACAAATGAGAAGGCACCTGAATAACTTATCGTGCAACACAGTGCAAAAACACTTGTTGGTCTCCTAGAGAATGGACCAGGATCTTCAACTGAATCATTTCATCCAAAGACATTTTCAAATATAAGAAACCAAAGCAAATTGTCTATTCATATCATTTATATGCAGTATGTGTGAATTGTGCAAAAAGGTTCAAATTGCAATCCAAAATAAAAATGACCAATAGGCAAAAGTATTTAGGGTTTATTTAAGATATTTAAAAATACACCTGTAAAATTATGTTCATGCATTAATTTTGCTCATCCTATAAACAGGGATGCAGAACCTGGGTCAGACCCCCTTGTCTTAGCCTCATTCCTCTTCCCAGGATCACTGACTGTTTGTTGGTTTACCAGCTCTCAGGCAGTTTTTTCCTGTTCTAAACAATTGACATGCTTTTCCTAAGCTTTAGTTAATGCCACTAACTTCAGTATGCTGCAGGTCTGGTTTTTTGGTCTGCCCCTTTCGCCTGTGGCCCCACTTTCCCCTGGAAGGGGTGCCCCAGGAACTTCTCTGTCGTAGAACCTGGTCTTTGGGCTGAAGGAGGATCTGCACCCTGCCATAGAAGAATCTCTGTCCTTGCTTTTATCCTCCTCTTTCAGCCAATATTCAGGGTTGTCCTCCAACCAACCGTCTTAAACGTAAGTGTGCATTAATACAGATTACATTTATCTCCATCTAGAAATGAACAGCAACTTCTGTTTGAATGTCTGTGCCTGGTCTAATACAGCTCAGATGTGTATTAGGAAACTAAAAGAAGTTGCTGAAGTTACCAAATGAGCATGTTCTAAAACTAGGTCTCAGAAGTTTCCAGATGAAGGCTTGTAGTACGATAACAGAGTTGGGGTTGGCACCTGGTCATAACTGTTATAGATCATTAGTATTTCAGAAACGTTGTAGGAATGCTCTTGTAGATGGCATAGTTCTGAGTGATATCCCAAAAGAGCAGCATTGTTGCAGCTGCATAACCCATCTCGGCATTTGCCTGGCATGGTCATTCTTTTAGGGGTGCCAGTGAAGCAGCGCTGGCTCCAAGGGATGCGTCCAGCATCCTTCATCTGACTAGCCTGGCCCTTCTTGTGTCACAGGGAAAGGATGCGTCCCCTAAAGAGAGAAAAATGGGGACATACATTTAGGTAATATGTTACACAGACTAATATATATGTATCTATGCAAGTTTAGATAGAATTACTGTCATGTAAACAGAGAAACAGCATGTCTCAGCTGAGGAGGAAAGGCTGAAGCCAAGGGATGGGTGTGCTTGCTACATCTCCTGCTCAAGCGCCATCAATGAGTGACTTCAAGTTCTCTGCCCCCATTTCTCAGTCCTTAACCCAGACTTGAACTGGATAGTCCTTTGCACAGAGGCCTGTCCTGTGCAAAGGAGGAAACAGGGTGACCCTAGGCCTGACAATGCATAGCATCACCTCTCAAGTGGCAAAGTGCAGCCATCTGGGGGCAGCAAAACTTCTTGGGCCAACTCTCATGTAGGATGCTATAAATTAAAGACTAGGGGACTCCAAGGACTTCCAGTCCAAAGGCACTGGGGAGTTTGCATTACATGGCAACCCACCCTGCAAACCAGCTATCCAAGGTGGGTAGCTTGTGGAACAATCCACAGTGCACCTGGCAGCTAGTTACGCACAACTGTTGTTGTGGCTATTCCACCTTTTATCTTCTTGGTGGTGGTGGTGTGTGTGTGTGTGTGTGTGAAGAAAAGACAATAGAAAGGGAAAGAGAAAACACTGGTGGGAGGAGACAGCATGGACAGACCATAAAACTCGGCGAATAAGGGAGGGCGATTCTGTGATCATAATTTCTTCTAGAAGTTTCCTGACTCTCCACCCCGTTTCTATTTACCAAGGGTCTTTCTGTTGCTTCGGGGAGTGCCTGGTTAAAAGGTTATTAGTGTGGGTTGTTGGAATGGTCCCTTTTTAGAGGTCAGTCCTCTCTCTGTCTCTCTCAGTAGAGTGGAGGGTGTGGGAACTCATCAGTCTAGTGCTTCTGTGAGTAACGCATGTGCCACTAAAGATCTCACAGCATACAGCTTCCCATGTCACACACTGTGATCTGTATTTGGAACTACTGAAAACCAGATGGATACATTATGCATTTCCAGTATCCAAAAGGGGGCAGAATCCCCTGCTGGCTTTTAAACAGTAAAGAACATGGAATGGTAGAGTGGATGCAAACAACGCAGGGAAGACCGACGAGAAGCTTTTGTAACGGTGGCTGTGGGAGATTTTCAGGAGGGCTTCTTGGTGTGAGAACAGGGCAGCCTTCCCAACCAGATGTGTTGGGATATCATCCCCCAAGGAGTCTAATAATTCTGCAGTCACTGGGTTGATGGGCACTGTAGTCCAACACATCAAGAAGGTACCAGACTGAGGAAGACTGGAAGGGAATGTTCCTAATTTCATCTCTGAAATATTGGAAGGGGTGCACTGCATCCTGGCATCTGAAATAAACTCTTCCTGGACAACAATATATTTCACATTAATAATGCCTATCAATTTGGGTCTGTCTTTCCCAGGAGCTCCCATGCACTGCTCTGACTTCAAAAAAGAAGCTGGGCAGCACTTAACCAAGCTGGCACTTGGGCAAAGCAGAATGATTGGGTGGCCAGAATATGATATCCCTAATAGTAAAACTGTAATTAGGGCTTAGCCATTACTGAGTGCCAACAAGCCCTGCTGTCGCCTCCCCGACCCTGAACTCGCTGGCACACATTGCTTCCAGGTGTGAGTGCAAGAGACCCGCGCTGCAATTTCCCAGTGGATCTGGGAGAAGTTCCACTGGTAGTTTGGAGTCTTTCTCCTGGTATGGATGCCCTGGGCTTCCTAGCAGTAGCCACTCTAGAGTGCCCCTTAGGGTTTCCTGCCAGTCCTGGAGAGAGATGTGGGGGTGGTGGATGGGGCCATGGAAAAGATGCTTCCCCCACACAGCCCCACATGCGACTCTCAGAGCCCCCAGGACATTGTTGCAGGTTAGCTCTGTGCACAGATGTGTAAGCATATGTCCGTGCAGTTCAAAAGCACGCAGTGGCAGGCATGCTAAACAGTGGAAGGAGGGCACCTGCACCCAGTGGCTGGATACCTGCTAGCATGGGGTGGGAAGCTGTGCAGAGCGGGGAACAGTACATGCACACATATGGAAGGAGATGCTCCTTCAGGTAACCAGGCCCTAAGCATGCATGTGTCTCCCTGGCACAGCCACTCTTTCCCTAGACCCGAGGCCCACGATGCTGCAGCAGTAGACACGATTTGTAACAGTTGTGTGGTCCTTGTGGGGAGGGCTGGCTGTGGGGAAGGGCAAAGAGGGGGTGCCAGCCAGAGCCACCTCCGTGCATGGCTGTGCAGACGAAGGTGAGGGGATGGGGCACAGGACGATGCCGGCTGCTTCTATGGCAGGTGGGGTGGGCACAGCCTGCCTGCACAGGTGCCCTGTGGGTGCATGACTGCACGGGGAGGCAGCCCTGCGGCAGCATGTGGGAAGCAAAAGTGCTCCTCGAGTGAGTAAATGGCTGCTCTGGCTGCGGAGCAGGAAAAAAGGAGCAGTCGACTGAGGAGAGTGTGTAGCCCAATGGCAACGCAGGCAGGAGCAGTGCACCCTGGATTTAAATTTCAGCCACAAAGGCTGATGGGATACCTGCTGCCAGCAGAAGAGCAAGAGTGGAAATTTACCACGCAATTCACAGACCTCGCCCAGGTAAGAAACCATGCCATTCAGGAACCACAGGGTGTGAACGCAGCCTCTGTGTCCAAAGCCCTAGACCCAAGCTTTAAACAGGAGCAATATTCAACAGGAAAACTCTGGACTTAGCACTAAGGCTTAATTAGAATAAAGTGCCACTGTCAGTTGGAAGAGGTGATATTGTTTACCAAAAGGAAAGGGCAAAGGGCTAGCAAGCAAAAACTGGAGTAAAAACTCCTTTAGAAACAATATTTCAGGCAAAAATAATTTTAAAAAGCTGCCTACATCTGCTCATGTGTGGTTCTTTACACAGAACAGGGCCCAAGCTAGAAGTGGGAATCACAAAGGCACAAAAGAGACAAAAACAATGAAGATGAATGGTGACATTAGCCTCCAAATTTATGCTCTGGAGCCTTTGGCTTTGATGGCATACAGGGAACCACACCAGGTCCCTGGAGACACGGTGATAACTTCTCACCAGACCCTTCCAGACATGCAATCACACTTGCCTCTGGACAGAATATTGTTTCACTGTAGTTTCTTTTCCCCCACTACCTGCCCCATGTACTAAACATACTATCAGGAGCCAAGTGTTACTATATACTAGGGTAGGGGTGGCCTCCAGACATTTTGGCCTACAACTCCCATCAGCCGTAGCCAAAACATTGGAGAGTTACAGATTGCCCATCCTCATATTAGATCTCAGGGTGCCATTTCCAACAGTGGTTCCATGTATTCTGCTAGAAAGGCTGCCTCTGAACTGGTTTGCTGTAGGGGTTGAAGTGTTGGACTGGGACCAAGAAGATACGGGTTCAAGTCCTCTCTTGGCCATGAAGCTCACTGGATGACCTCAGGCCAATCACTGACTCTTGGGCTGACCTAACACAGGCTTGCTGTTGTGAAGATAAAAACGAGAAAGAGAGAACTTTGTAACCCACTTTGGGTTCCTTACCAAAGGGAAAAGGATGGGATATGGATGTACTATCATGTAATAATAAACATTTGTGGAAATGCTTGCAGAAGATTGAATTCTGCTATGATTCTAGATATCTTGAAAATGCAGATTTTTAAAAAGCCAAACCCATAACTCTTGGAGGTCAGACTAAGTGAAGGTTTCAAGATGTCCAGAAATGGAATTAGCATAACAAGTCCTATCACCTGCTGTTCTCTTTAAAGCTTCTTTCCAAATTTTTAGAAGTGTCTGATGTCTTGAACTATCTCACATTCCTCAAACTGTAGTACCAGTAGCATTCCAAGCCTTCCCCTGGCAAAAAAAAGTACAGGAAAAGCATCTATGGAATGTTATGAATCAACAGCTGAAAAAGGCAACTTTAAAATGAGCCTTATTTCAAACTTGAAAGGATAACTGAATTACTGTACCTCAGATGTTAAGTTTCAGTACTTCTCCCAGTGCAATCCTATGCATGCCTCCACTGAAGTAAACCCCAATGCTTCCACTGGGACTTTGTGTAAGTGTGCATAATGTTGTAGCCTTAATGGATCTCACACTTATTTATACTACAAGGAGCTCATTAAAGAGTCACTAAGGGGGCAATTCTATCCGTGTTTAGACAGAATTCTGGCAATGGTGGGACTTCTTTCTCTCTAAAAATGTCAAGGATTGTGCCCACAGTTACACACGGTGGTATATTATTGAACGGCAAAATGATTATTGTGACTCTGGACACTGTTGACACTGACAGCATATAATGAAGTACATTATCTATTCATGCTGATGTTCACATGACCAAAGCAGTGCAGTTATACCAGGACGAGGGGCTATACCATACAACAGAGGTGGGGAATGTGTGGCCCTACAGATATTGGTGAACTGCAACTCCCCGCAGCCCTCACCATTTGCTGTGCTCTCTGAGACTGATAGTCCACCTTCATCAGAAGAGTCACATGTCTCCACATTTGTGTTTGCAGAATCGTGTGCTATGACATTAGTCAATGTACTCCACTGATGATTTGAATGTTCACAAATATTTGAAATGTGCCAACACAGAATTCATAGATGCACAATATAGTAGGGTTGGAAGGGGCCAAGAAGGCCATCGGGTCCAACCTCCAGCTGGTGCAAGACACCATCCCACTCAGATGACTGTCCAGTTTTGCCTTGAATGGCTCTAGTGTGGAAGAGTCTATGACCTCTCTTGGCACCTGGTTCCACTGTCAGATTGCTCTGACAGCATTTTTGCCTTGTGTCTAGCCTGCAAATTCATGTCAAATTCCTTCCTTAAATGAAGTTTTGACTGCAAAACGTCAAATCTTAAATTATTTAAAACATATTTTACTTCAGTTGCACAGATTTAAATGCTTTGGGCTGGATGTTTATTGACTGCTTTGGTTTGGTAGATATCAG